TCTCTCTCTCTCTCTCTCTCTCTCTCTCTCTCTCTCTCTCAGCAAGGTCTTGCTTCATAGCTCAGGCTGGCCTTGAACTCACAGCCATCCTCCTGCCAAGCCTCTTGAGGGCTGGTATTACAGGAGTGCACCACCACACCTGGCTTTTCTCTGCGATCTAACAACATCTCCTCATTTCCATCTGCATCTCACCTGCAGAGCTTTTAAAGCCCCTGCTTCTACCAAGAGTCAGTTCATGATGACTCAGGTGGCCTATGAAACATGGCTTTTTGTCTTACACCGCTTATCACTTCCCTCTGAGCCTCACTAGCAGTCCTTAACACTCATCCACTCATTCTTCTCCTGACCATCTGCTGAAAGCAATCTAGGCAGTTTCTGTCATGTTCCTCAGCATTTGTCTAGCCTCTGACCATTGCCCAAATCCATGATTTTAGGTATTTGTTACAGCAGCAGTAGAAAACCACTGCCATTTTCCTGAACCCCAAGTCTCAAACCGGTGGGGGACTCAGGTGCATGCTATGCACTCCACGTGCATTGACACGGTGGCCCGGGACCCCTGAGATCAGGCAACCCCATGTTGTGGCAGTGAGCTATGAGCAACATGCTTGACCTTTGCCCCGGAAGGAGTTACCATTTTTACACTGGCCAGCAAGCGAGTCTGTCCTCTGATCAGTGGGGAACATGATCCCTGTTCTCCAAGGGCATTTTATCCCCAAAGATCATTTGAGACACATCTTTGTGTCTCCATTATTAATCCAACATACAGAAACTGAGATATCCTTGGAGATCCTTCTCCCAAACCTGAAAATACCAAAGAGTAGATTGCGTAAGACATCTGCACTTTTAAAAAAGAGACAACTTCGAAGAAATTGCAAAAATAATTAAGATTTTTTTTTTAAATGCCTGAATGAATATTTCAGAGATGCACAACTATCTCAGGTTAAATTTGCTAAACTTTTTCACAATTAAAGCTGCCAGGAGTTTGTCAATGTGTATATTGTATATAACAGCTATCTCATTTTTATTGAAATAGTCTTATGGATGGGGTGGTAATACATTATGCTGAGGTAGATAGATAACATTTTTAAAAAATAGGAAAGAAAAGACTGAAGATATTAAGTATTTGGTTTTGGGGTGACTTTTTTTTTTTTTTTTTTTTTTTTTGGTGGTATCAGGGACCGAACTTATGACTTTGCACTTGCCAGGCAGGAGCTTATGCTGTTGAGCCATCTCCCTGGCCCCTTGGCAAGGTATCAGGATTTTAAAATTGTATTTAAAGTGAAACAAAAATCTCAGGACTTCAAAAGTTATTCCAGCTCTTTTCCTTCCAGGAAACACCATTAAAAGAAACATAAAAAACAAAAACAAACAAAAAACCCCCCTAAGTGTCTTAAAGACAGAGTACACCAATAAATTGGGCTCTACAGATGTCCTTTCACATATAAATTGCCCGTCCTCCATCATCAAAGAAGCAGCAGTATTAATGGAGAGCATCTATCAACTCCAGACACATACGTCTTGCCTTCTGACGTACGTAGCCTGCCGGACTGACAGGGGATGAAACTCCCGACCTGAAAGGTACCGGGTATGAGCTCGTGTTCTCTAAAACAAAAGAATGAATTTTAGGAACAAATGGAGAATAACAGCAGAATATTTATTGGGGGAAAGAAAGCTTCTG